CCATCAATAGTACCAATACCAACATCAATACCATCACCAGTACCATTCCTAGTTGTATCACATAACCATTATTAGTACAAACACCTGTACTATCCTTTGTAAAATTACAGAACCATTACGGCACTAGTACCAACACTCGGTACATCACAGTACCAAATTCAGTACCAGCAGTCCAGCACCAGTACTATCACTAGTTTGTTAACTACTGTTTTGTTCATTTTAGCCTTTAACTTTGGTTTAGCTGATTTTAGCTTCTATTCTGCTTCTTTTAACTTTAACATTTAAGTGAAAAAGTCATTATTTTACAACGATCATTCAGTGCTTGGCATTCCTCTTTTTTTTATTTTTATTTTTTAGCAATATAACAACTTATTAACGTTTAACATCTCACTGACAATACAAAATTGCAAAAGGTTTGTTCAAGACATCAAACTGTCAGAGTGAGAAAACGAAGAGTTCTGGTCCTCCATGTTTTTGGTATCAACTGCAGGTCCAGATCATTCTGACATTTGACACATCTTAATGTGTTTCAGTGTGTGAGCTTCACGTCCACGCTGACTGCGCTTCTTTCACCTGTGCTGACTGTCGGAGTTGCCACCTGGACGGGAACCTGCAGCAGGTGAGAGATGCTTCAGTCCAACAGCTGAAGGTGTAAAGTTTGAACCACAGATGGAATCTCTTCACAACGCCTATAACCTGTACAGTCTGTGGTCAGAGACGGAGAGTCTGCAGCTGCTTCAGGTTCTTTCATGTCTGTGGGCTTTGAATTGAATGAATTGAATGAATAAAATCAGATACACACTCCCGTTTACAAATCTGAAGCTTTTACATTCAAACAGATGGAGGTGTACCACAAGGCTCTATGTTTGAGCACTGTTTTTCTTTATTTCACACGTTCAAAAGAAGGAGAACATGGAAGAATTTGTTTTAGCCTCATCTCTGTAGGTGGGACTGTAGGTTGGAATGTAGATTGAACTATAGTTGGGACTGTAGGCGCGTCTTGGACAACAAATCTTCCATAGTAAGCACAATGTTTTTATTTAATTGAAAATAAGACTTACCAATCAGCAGCAGCCTGATTCTTGTTATTGAATCACGGGAGAGTTTTTGATTCCTTCAGTCTGATCGATCACCTCTTTAGTTAGAGTCACTCAGAAAAGTCTAAATCAAGATGTTTGCTGTCTCCTCGGAGCAGCTGCTGATCAATCTGTTACACTCATTGACTCCAATCAGTGTCCTGGAGCTGGGAGCTCCTGCAGAGCTGAGGCTGGCTCCACTGCAGCCCGACTGACAGGAAACCAGCAGCTGAAGCACTGCAGACGGGTCCAACCATCGCTCAGAGAGCTGACAGGAAGCAGCCATCACTGATCGATCAGTTCAGTCAGAGCTAATGAGGGTTTTATTTTTCCGTGTTGGAGAATCTGATGTTCAATTTCTGTCTGAGTGAAGTGCCGAGTTGCTGCTTCCTGTTGGAGACAGATTTGATTTGAAGCAGGAGAACCAGGTGGTCTGACTGAATCCTTAAAGTCCAGATAAATGTTATCTTCCAAATTAATTAAAAAAAAATATATATTGAAATAACTTGAAACTGACAAAAGTTTAATGTCATCCTTTATTGTTGAGTCCATATTGAACACAAGAAGTTTCACTGGATTACTGATTCAGCTGGATATTTCCTGTTGACGGACAGTTGAGCTCATACTAAGGTTGAGTTTCTGACACTGGGTAGGATGTTTCCCTACATCCTTGAAAGTCTTGAGACTTCACTGTGCCCTGTGCAGATTCACATACCTTCTGGGTCTTCTTCCATCATCATGATCTCAAATGTGATCAGAAAGAGATCCCTACTGTCTACACTGTGCCTGAGCAACCTGTGGTCGCATTTCCTCTTGCGTCCACATCGTGAGAGATTGGCAACAGTCTCATGAACTTTCTACTTTTGTGTAATCTTGTATGGTCAGAGGAACAAGAAGCAGCTTGTTACCTTTAACATCTATAATCTTTCTGAGCTCCATGGTCCGTGTGATGAACAGAAGCAAATCAAATGACCCAGTTTGTTTTCTTTAAACGAGCTGAAGGATCAAAAGCTTGAAGGCTTCTGTGTGTTGATGATGTCACCACCACCAGAGCTGTGAAGTGCTATCTGAACCAGAAACCTTGGCTGAACGCAGAGGTCCATACCTTGCTGAAAGCCAGGGATACTGCCTTCAGGTCTGGTGACTCACAGGAACTGTGAGGACAAGGAAAGAGCTGGCTGCTGGTACAGTATAAAGAGGGCCAAAGCAACATCTGCACAGAAGATCCAGGCACATTTCTCCTCACAGGACACATGGAGCATGTGGAGGGGCATTAAGTGTATAACAGACTATAAAAGCATAGGTGCATAATGCTCTAGGGACCCATCACTGCCTGATGCTCTTAACAGGTTCTATGCCTGCTTTGAAGACCTGAACAGTTCACCCAGCAGCAGACTCACCTCACCACCGGATGAGGAGTTTCTCAGCGTGACCTCAGCAGAAGTGAGGAGTACCTTCAGGAGGATTAATCCTCTTAACTGGCCCAGATAGCATCCTGGGAAGGGTGCTGAGTAGGGCTGAGTACCAAACTTGGGTTCTTTTATGGAACTGAACTGCTTCGGTCGGTGTATGGATCAAAATATGCCTCTTCTTTCGGTGTTAAGTTTCGGTGATTGGCTGTAACGTTACACGTGGTTTCAACCACGTGTAACGTTACAGCCAATGCCGGTGCTGCAATGCAGGAAAAACACAGATGGGGTTCACTTGGTTTCTAAGGCAAGCCTTAATATGAAGCGCTTGACCGTGCACAGAATTTAAGATCGTAAAGTCGCTTCCCTCAGGCAGGAGGTTGAGGAGCATTACGTGTAGATCCACTAGACTGAGGAACAGCTTCTACCCTGAAGCTGTTAGACTCATGAATCTCTAACCAGGATTATCACTGTGATTTGATTGGTGACATGTGCTGCTGATTATTTCATGCTGCTGATTATTTCATGCTGCTGATTATTTCATGCTGCTGATTATTTCATGCTGCTGATTATCCATGCTGCTGATTATTTCATGCTGCTGATTATTTCATGCTGCTGTATTCATTCGTACCCATCTGCTCACACAGACTCATGTTTGGGCTGCTGTTGCTGCGTCATATTGTTTTACGTTATTAGTGTTTAGCGTATATCTTGGATCTTTTAGCGTACCGCTTGGCGTTCGTTTAGTGCAGTTCTTCTCAAATAGTGGGGCGCGCCCCCCCTGGGGGGGCCGGGGCAATGCCGGGGTGGGGGGTGCATGTGACCCTAGAAAACATGCTTTTTTTGCTGCAGGGAGTAGTTTTTTTTTTTCTTCCACCATTCTCATTTTGTCACGTGTGTTCCTAATAATAAAGTTATGAACAAACATGGCTGCCTTGTCGTTTTGGGAGCCATGCATGAACCGTGTCGCTCCCCTCTGCTGCTGACACGATAAATAAACTCTGACCGACACCTCCTCGGTCCTCCGCTGCTGTTTTTATGACACTCTGGACGGCATGCAACAAAGAGTAAACTCAAAGCAAGATGGTTACCTGCTCCCTCTTTCTTCTTTCACGTTGACAATGTTTTTTTAGTTTTATCTATGAGTGTGCTCATTGATCCTGACTTCCTCATTTTGATAAAAATAAAATAGAATCAGCATAAATTGTTTTATTGATTTTTGTTTTGTAGGTCAAAGTGTTTTATGTAACACTCATGAGTTAAAATGTTGCTGATCAATTTGAATTTATTGATTATATTTAATTTGATTAATTCAGTATCAAATGATCAAAAATGTTTACAGTTTAAGGATTGAAGTTTTTATTTTTTCAGGCAGACTGATGCACTTTAAGTTGCTTTCTTTAAAGACAAAAAAAAACAATGTTAATAAAGTTATTCTTGGTTGTAAGTTACTCTATATTCTTTTTGTTTCCTTTAATGTTAATAAGGACACAATGTTATGCAGGGGTGTACTTATAACAATTATATAGATACTATTTACAGTCGCGATGCAGAGTTGGGGGGGCGAAATGTTTACTTCTTCCTGGGGGGGCATAACAGAAAATAATTGGGAAACACTGGTTTAGTGTATATCTTAGATCCTTATTTACTGATTGTTTTACACTTTATATTGTTGCCATTGTTGGATGTATCTGGGACTCTGTACATAATTCTGTTCCAGCTCATCGTACCACATGAGGTGAAATGACAATAAACCTAGTTGAACTTGAACTTGATGCTCATTAAGATCTAACAGTTTAAATATTGACTATAATGCAAGATTTATTGAATCTGTAATGGGACCAACAATTCTGTTCGTGTTTTAGTAGATTTTTGTAAATGACCAACAAATCATTTATTTTCAGACAAATCCATTTGACAGAATCACTTTCTGTGAGAAATGAAGCATCTTTGAAACATCTGTATTTCAGTTTGGACGAGTTTTTCTGAGTGGCTGCTTGTCTTGGCCATGCTGAAGCCCATTAACGATAAATCTTCCATCGTCTCCAGCTGGACACATTCCACCACCACTGGAGGGAGGGGAACCTGGCGTCAGCGGCCAGGTGTGAAGTTTGTCGCCGCTCGTGCGGATCCTCTGAGGTCCTCGCGGGGATGAGGTGTGAGTGGTGCAGCATCACGGTGAGAATCTGACAGAGTCGTGCCGTTTTCTGCTCCTCCGATTGCTTTTCTCACTAATATGAAGTCTGTTCGCTTCATGGACACGACTCGGTGAGGTTTTCACAACGTATTTGGGTCAAATCTACTGAGGGTGTCAGATGTGCAAAGGAGATTTTATGTTTGAAGCGTGCATGATATCTTTTTGTAGATGGGTTGTTTTCGCTGATTGTTTTTCTAAAATGAGATGCATTTCAGGATTTTTTAATCTTAAATGTTCTTTTGCTAATCGGACGAGTTAATGATCTGTTTGTTTACGTCACTCAAACCCTCAAATGTTTTCAGGTTTAAATTAGGTTTGTTGGTATGATCCAGACTGGATCCTGACTGACAGACTCTGGGAGAAGAGATCTAAAATTAAAGGTGTGTCAGAAATGGAAGAATAATGGTTGAATACTAATAAATTCCTTCAGTGCTAATGTCAGGGCGCTGCAGCAGGAGGAAATCTGGAGAGAAGTATGTTAGACTGGTACAGGACATGTATCAGGACAGTGGTGAGATGTGCTGTAGGAGTGACAGATAGCTTCAAGGTGGAGGTGGGAGTGCATCAAGGATCTGCTCTGAGCCCCTTCTTGTTTGCTCTGGTGATGGACCGACTAACAGATGAGGTCAGGCAGGAATCCCCGTGGACTATGATGTTTGCAGATGACATTGTGTTCTGTGGTGAGAACAGGGAACAGGTGGAAGAGAACTTGGAGAGGTGGAGGTATGCACTTGAAAGAAGAGGCATGAAAGTCAGCCGTAGTAAGACGTGTGTGAATGAGAGGGAGGAGGTGGAATAGTGAGGCTACAAGGAGCAGAGGTCACAAAGGTGCAGGACTTCAAGTACTTGGGGTCCACTGTTCAGGAAAATGGGGAATGTGGTAAAGAGGTGAAGAAGAGAGTCCAGGCAGGATGGAGTGAATGGAGAAAAGCTTCAGGAGTGAATTGTGACAAAAAGGTGTCAGCAAATGTCAAAGGAAAATTTACAAGACAGTGGTGAGACCAGCTGTATTGTATGGTCTGTAGACAGAGACATGGACAAAAAGACAGGAGACAGAACTGGAAGTAGAAATGAAGATGTTGAGGTTCTCCTTAGGAGTGACAAGGATGGATTAGATTAGGAATGAGATCATCAGAGGTACAGCACAGGTTGAACAACTGGGAGATAAAGTTAGAGAGACCAGACTGAGATGGTTTGGACATGTCCAGAGGAGGGACAGTGGTTTGGACATGTCCAG